ACTGTTTACCATCTGCAGTGCAACTTAGCTTCTTTGAAGTTCTGTGGATTCCAAGGCCAAATACATTCTATAAATGATTTTTAGAATTAGATACCATTTTGATTACTTAAATTACAGCTCTTTAAGGTTGACTTTAGTAACCGAGCATCAACATGTAATTTATATGTCGACTTTTTAATCTGTGTTATACTAATTTGATGATACACTACCCAAGGCCAGGGATCTTGTGTCTGGTTTGTGCCTAAATTTCAGTGTGTCTAATAAAGGTCCATGCAGACTACAGGCACTCAATAAATCTTTTAAAAAATACGCTGACTGAATGAAATGAAAGTGCAGCATCTAAAAATTCTCAGGATACGGCTAAAGCAATGTGCTGAGAGGAAAATTTATAGCACTAAAATGAATGCATCAGAAAGGGAAAACAGCAAGTCAGTTGTCTAAGCCCCAGCCTCAAGAACCTAGAAGATTATCAAAGTCAAAGCAAGCAGAAAGGAAATAATAATAATAAAACTGAAACTAAAAAAATAGTGAAAGTCAGTGAAATGACTGGCTCTTGGAGAACATTAATAAAACTGACAGACCTCTATGAAAACTCACAGAAAGAGTGTGGGGGTTAGATAGAAGGGGACAAAGAGATGGCTCTATTGCAATAGGGAAGTGATCCAAGGGGGAAAGCACAACAAGAGTTGAGGTAGGGAAGGGTAAATAAGTAGAATGAAGATGTGCCACGTACAGGAACCTAAGAACCTCAATTAATGTAAACATGCCATGACGTGAGCTAAGATTCATAATATCAGTAAGACTGAAAAGTGGGATAGGACAGTTGGAGAGGGGAGGAAGGGAGAGGGAAGGAGACAGGGCCAGGGATTTAACTCAGTGATTCTGTCACCTGCCTTGCTAGTGCAAGGTTCCGAGTTTGATCCCTGGTAACAAAAAGAGACAGAGAGAAAAGACAAGCTGTGGTATGTACATGGAACCATTCCTTAAGATAACCGCATGAACTGCAAACATGTACTAATAAAATTAAAAATTAAAAGGAAAATTGACCAAAAGAAAGGTAGATACAAATTATATCAGGAATGAAACAAGGAATATCAACTTATGACCTGGCATACATTAAAAGGATAATAAGATAATCCTGTGAACAATTCTACTTATATAAATTTGACAGTGTAGATGAAATGAATCGATTCTTCGGAAGGCGCACACTGCCACACCTAAAATGAAGTAGGCAATCTAAATAGGACTATAACCATTAGGGACGTTTGATCTTTAATTTATTTTTGATGATGGGGACTGAACCCAGGACCTTGCATGTGCCAAACATGTACTCTGCCAATGAGCTATATTATACTTCTCACCCTTTGGATTTACAATTTAAAATGTCCAAGTAAGAATAATTTCACTAAGGAATCCTACTAAATTCTTTAAAGAAAGATTAAGGCTATTTCTACACAGTATCTGTTATGGTTTGGATCTAAATGTCCCCCCAAAGCCTCATGCAGTCATAGGTGGCTTTCAGGGGTGGCTGAATCTAGAGTGTGTGATACTGGGTTAAGGGCTTGTGATTACTAAGCCAGTTCACTGATTGGTTTAGCATCATCCTAATCCGGGTAGTCTGGATTAGATAAAAGGGGCAGAGAGCTTCTGTTAAGATTCCCCTTGTTGCTTTTGCTACCTTGTGGGCGTCATGAACTGTTTCTCCTTGATGCCCCTCTGCTATGTGGTACTTTGCCTTGGAGCCAGCGAAGGACTGGCTGAAACCTCTACAAGCTGAGCTAAATAAATCTTTCCCCTTTAACTTTGGGTGTCAAGTATTTTGCCTCAGCAACAAGTGACTTACTTAACACACTATCTTATAGAAAATAGAAAACAAGAGATGTTACCTTTGTGGGAACCTGAGTCAGAGGTGCCCAGGATCTTTGTATCTGTCCTTACAACAGTTCCTTGCATATGGATCTACCATATGAAAAGAAAAGTTTGGTTTTTTTTTTCTTGGTATCAGGGATCGAACTCAGGTCTTTGTGCTTGTGAGGCAGGTGCCAGAACCACTAAGCTAAATCCCTGGCAGAAAAGGTTTAATTTAAAGAAAAGTAACCACAGAGAGAGAAAGAGGACGTATTGTACAGAAGAACGAAGAGGATGATAACATACTTCTTTTTTGAAATAATACCAGCTAGAAGTACAGCAGTATCTTTAAAATACTGAAAGAAAAAGGAAAGTTTGATTCTTGAAGCTGTTTGCTTATCCATTCTCTGTGCTGCATCATAAGGGCAATAAAAAAGACAGGTAGAGGAACTGTCTGCTTTGGGGAATGTGGGTGGTGCTGTCATCCTTTGAAAAGAAAATCAACCACTCTTTTTAGTCCCTGATCTTTCTGTCCGTTTCCTCTGCTTCGCCTTTGGAAAATAAAATTGGTTAATATATTGTTTTAGCTGTCAAGCAGGTTTTTATTCTAAAAGAGAATAAAGTAAATGTGGAGATAACTGCAATACAGGCAGATTTGGATAAATGTCACAGAAGAGAAATTCAGAGAAAAATTTTTGGAAATTTAGAGGAAGAATTGAGAGCACAACAAATGGAGGACATTGAAGAAAATGACATGTGAATCTGATTAAGAGTGGAGGAAAAGGAAAGAGCTGAGAGGTGTCCAAGATCCGGGCCCAGATGAATGAGACAGAAGCAGAGTCATGGCAGTGACTGAGTGGAATCGGTTCCTCTGCTGCAGAGGTTTTGTGTTTGCTGGCCTACTGGGTTTTGTCCTTATTACTTGAAACAGTGTGGGTCACTTATAAGTACTCAGTAAATATTTATTGTGCAAATAAATAAATGAATATTAAAATTAGAAAACAGTGATCATCAGCTTTGGTTGAAATGATTTGATGTGAGTTCTGGTTTAAGAATCATAAATGTGGAAACTCCCTGACTGCCACAGCTTCGGCTATCACACAGATGCCTTGCAAAATTGGAGGAGAAAGCAGAAACACAGGTAACACTGATCAAGAACTTTAGCTGTATGTGAAATAGAGACCTACAAGAGAAATTAGTGTCACTGCTGATGTGGAGTGCTTGACTTAGCACTTGATCCATAGTAAGTTCTTGGTTAAGGTCATCGTTTTCTGAACCTTAGTTACGCATTGACTCCTGGCATAGATGAGCTGCCGCACCTCTCATAAAGCTTCACTGGGGACCTGGGGATGTAGCTCAGTGGTAGAAGGCTAGCCTAGCATGCACAAGGCCGTGTGTTCAAGCCCAGCACTGTCAAATCCCAAAACAAAGATGAAAAAGTGTGTTTGAGTTACTTCATACAAAAGCTGAATCAGGCAGTGTAGGCTCTTCCCTGAAGATGAGGCAGGGTGAAAATGTAATTTGTATAAAAGTCACAGCTAGTTGAAGAAAAAAAGGAGGAAGAAGGTTGCCAGGGACCAAACCCAAGAGTACTGGTTACCTGAAAAGCATAGGAAGAGAAATGGGAGCTAGACAGCATTAATTAGTTGGCCTTCCCCACACCTCATGTGCTGGGGTCAGGCCCAGGGCCCCCACATGCTAGCAAGCCCTCTACCACTCAGTAGCAACTCCAGCCCTTAGCTGGGATTTTTGAAGGTTTACCTCCAAAATTCATAGGTACCTTCAAGGATAAATTTTGTTTTCTGGGAAAATATATTTGCCTGCTAGATAGCTCTGTCTATCCTTGTTGACATCTTTAATTTAATATGTCGAAAATTAAAGTTGGAGTCACTATGTAGTGAAACTGAAAGGTTCTCAGAATGCCTCTTGTTCAGTCTCCCTTTTTGCAGATTAGGAAAATGGATCCTTCTCTGGGGTAGAGGTCTCACACTTCTTAAACTCATTGGTATCTCTGTGAACAAACAGTTGTCTCTTGGGTCACTTTGGTCCAGAGCATTCCGTTAAGATCTTTCTGACTTTGAGCCTTCAGAGTTCTGGCTTACAGTAGCCCCTTGTCCAAGAGCAGTGCAATTTTTTTTTAAACTGCTGAATCCTCTGCTTAACTTGAGTCAAACCAAGTGACCCAATATATAAAAAGAAACTAAAAGGGGCTGACACAGAATGGGAGTGTAACTTAGTGGTAGAATGCTGGCCTAGTATTTGTGAAGCCCTGCATTTGATCCCCAGCAGTGCCAGAAAAACAGAACAGAACTAAACAAAACAAGGAGCCGGTGGAAGGTAACAGGGAGCTGTGGTAGAGGTAGTGGTGGTAGGATGTAGATAGTTGGGGAAATCACAAAATTGAAAGCCTGAGTTCTTTCCTGATTGCTTTGCCCACTTCCCCACTCCCCAGAGACAAGGAACCTTTGCAGAGCCTGAGTTAGGAAACCATCTGAAACCCACTGATTAAGAAGCCCATGGGCCTGGCAATGATAGTTGTGATGAATGGTATCAGTATCTGCTCTGCAAGCTCCCCAATGACTTTAATATATACCCTGGAGTAATGATTCTAAGAAATTGGCCACCATTACAACTAGGGCTTTAGTAAACTCAGCTATCATTTAAAAACTTTTCATTGATCACATTTGTATTTATTTACACAGAAAGCAGCTTTTATTCGAACTAGTTGACTTGAAGTAGATATATAAACAGCCCAATAATTACTTTCATGTATGGAAAAGCTTGGGAGTAGTCAGTGATTGGTCTTACATGAATCCCTATCGTGTTCTGATGAATTTTAAAATAGTTGATGTATGTTTAATAATTGCTTTTGTAGTATTATTTATAATTTTGAATTTTAGTCAGCAGTTGATTAAGCCCTATACCAGACCACGGGAATGGGGGGGGGATATAGGGTAAAGTTCTTGCCTTCAAATATGAGTCATGCTGAGTATAGAATGAAGAATTTAACTTTTACATTTTTTTCCTTTTTATTTCATTTCACCACCTGACCTTTTGTGTTGTCCCATTTTAAACTTTAATTTACTGACTTATAAAACATGTTCATGACTGAAAATTCAGTGATTTAAGGCTTTGTGCTTTCAAATTATTAGGTTGCAAGACTGGAGAAAGATAAAGAAGAACTACATAACCAGCTGCTTAGTGTTGATCTCACAAGAGACAGCAAACGAGTGGAGCAACTTCTTCGAGAAAAAGCCCATTTGAGTCAGAAATTAAAAGGCTTAGAGACTGAAATAGAAGAATTAAGGGCTAAAAAAGAGAATTCTGGTGCTCAGGTAGAAAATGTCCAAAGAATACAGGTGCGGCAGTTGGCTGAAATGCAGGCTACAATCAGATCCCTGGAGGTAAGGTTTTAATTGCTTCCGGGAAGAGTAGGGCATAGTATTTAAAAGTGTAGTTGACAAGGCTTTACTTTTTAGAGTGTAAATGTGTGCTTACCAGTCTAATGCTGACGCATTTGTAGAATCCCTGGAGTAGATATTCTTTCTATAAAGAAGAAAGCTATTGATTTGTAAGCAATAGCTATGCTACCACATTTATAAGGGGAATATTTATTCTTTTGAGAGTCAAGTCACCTACTTGAAATGACTTAACTCTTATAATGCCACCAAATAGATTATGTAAAATCCCCCCAAATATATTGGACTCTCTGAAGACATAGTCATGTTAAAGCCCCCTCCCCGCAAAAAAGAAAAAGATAAATTTCTTTTGAGATTGTAAATTCCTTACACTGGTATCTTAACCACCCCCATGGGATTTTGTACTTTACATGATATATCTTGGTTTATTTTTTTCCCCATTTCCCTGCCCTCCCTTCAACCCTTCCATCCCTCCTCATTTACAAAGACTTTGTTTCTGGTATTTCAAACTTTAAAATCATAAGTCCTATTTGAGCAAAAATACCATATTTAACATACCTTATGATAGCTTCTTGCCAAAATAATAAAATTCAACTTGGCTACTACTGCATACAGTTAACTTTTATGGAATTATTTCCCTTGAGTTGATTAGAGAAAGTTAATTGTTAGCAGAACCAGTTTCTTACTTCTGGAAGTATTGCCTTATGAAAACTCTTGATTTCCATCTTACTCAGACACAGTTACTTCTCCTGTAGCAAATGACCAACTTGATGTTTTGATTTATTTTGTAAAATTTAAAGTTTTTCTTTCTCCTCTGGAATAGTCATGAAATAGTGATTTGAGTTAGAAGGAAATAATTTGGTACTATCCCTAGTTTGTAATTATAATCCAGTATCCAAATCCAAAATGATTTTTTTTTTTCCAACCAGCAAGCTGGTACAAAGAGTACATTGATGTGTTTCGAAGAGAAGTCACTTTTTAAACTTTTTTACATGAAGCTTCTGTCATTATTTGCTGGTTTTCTGAATGAAAATTGCCAATATCATTGGATCTTAGACACGAGACAGTTCAGAGTAAGACTGTTTATGTTGCCATTCTTCTGTACCTAATGTGTTTACATAGTGACAGAGTAAGTGAGATGATTGCAGTTGAACACAGTATATTGTCTCAGTGTGAAGCTTTTCATTGAGTTCATCTGGAGTGATTATTTTCAGGGCAAGTTGAGTGATAACAAAAGATAGATGGTTCATTTGTGACATTTTCAGAAGAGCCTGTATTTAATTTAATCATTTGTCAGATGAAAATAATACATAACAGCAAACATTTCTTTTTTTCAGCCTTTTTGGCTATCATTATGCCCAGAGAACATAATTTTATATGTGAAGAAAATAGCTGTTTCCTTCTGATTTATCTGTTGAATACAATTCTTATTATATTTAATGCACGTAGGCAATGAGATTTAAAAAACTCATTTATCCTTTAAATGCTAAAATGTTTTTGAGTAGAAGTATTTTAAAAAAGCTTTTAATTTTCTCTCTTTAGCGACAGTGTTTTGAGTATGACTGACAAGAAAATTTTTGACAACTTACAGAATTTATTGAGAATCTTAATTATGAGCTGGAGAGTTAGCTCAGTGGCACCACACCTGCCTTGCAAGTGCAAGTTCCTGAGTTCAATCCCCAGTACAAAAAAAAAAAAAAAAATCTTAATTATGTGAAAAGATGAAGAGCTTCTTCACCCATACTTCAAAAGGCTCCACGTTGGCCGAGAATTTTAAATTCTTATCTCTACTTCTGTTTTTAAAACAAATCTCCATTGATTTTGAAATTTCAATTTTGACTGTCTGTGAGCCTTCTGTTGTCTTCTAATGAGCTTTTTCATAACTGCTGTGGACTGGGACCCCCCCCCATGCCTGATTGAATCGTGTCAGCATTCATAGTAAATAACTATCAAAGGAGTGGCACAAATACTTTCTCTCATTAAATAACTATGTGAGGCTTATTTTGATAGTGGCTGTTGGTAAGTTTTTGCCAGATACTTTTGTTGCATGTTTCCTGGAACACACATCTCTTTGGGTTTTGTTTTGTGTTTGGTACTGGGGGTTGAATCAGGGCCCCACATGTGTAAGACAGGTATCCTACCACTGAGCTGTACCTCACCCCCACGGAGCAGATATCTTTCATTTTTGAAGTCTACCAGTTGCTTTGAGAAACTCATGTTACTTTGGTACGTGTTAATTTTGTTGGAGTTTTGAATAATTTTTATGTGGTTACACATGAGTTTTAAATAATGCATGTTTTATTTTGATATATTGTGAAAAATTATGAACACATTTTAAAATGTTTTTTTTAATAAAAGGCTGAAAGACAGTCAGCCAAGTTGCAGGCTGAACGCTTAGAAAAAGAGCTACAATCAAGCAATGAACAAACTGCTTCTTTAATCAGTAAATTGAATAAAGCTGATGGAGAAATAAATACACTGACTAGTAAAGTAAGTTATCTTTTGCATCTGTTTCACTCTTTAGGATGCTTGATCCTGTATGATGATATAAAATTTTTGTTTTTAATAGTTGAGTTCTATATATTGAAATCTTACTTTATAATATCATTCTATTCTTCAAGAAGTAGAACGTATTGACAATCATTTTATACTTCTGCTTCATTCTTTGGAAAGCTAGGTACTCTACAATGAAAAAGAAATTTTGTGTTTAGCTAGTTCTTTATATTGCAGTCGTTTTATCCTATCATTCTACCTTCCTAATACATGCAGAAAGCGACCAATTCTTAAAACCTCCACTGTGATGACTCTGTTACAACCCATGATCTCTGTAGGCTTGGTTTTTATAATAGTTTCATAACTGTTCCTTCTGTTCTCTACCTATTCAGAGCTCTGTGTGATCTGGTGCCTGCAGTCTTTCCACAGCCGTCACCTGCAGTTTCCTTCCTGTGTACCTTGCTCCTGCCTTACTTGCCTCTCCTCCATCTTTCTACCCCTAGGCCCTTGTCGTGGGTACCTGCTGAGGTCTTCCTTCACTGACCTACTCAGCTTGCTTCTTTACCTTCTTAAAATGTCACTCAGTTTGAAAGGTCTTGGCTTCACTTGGCAAAACAACACTTTCCTCTTCTTCTGCCTTACTTTTTACCTTCCTAACCTGCTTAATTTTTTTTCTATATCTCTTAGTACCATCTACTTATGTTGGTTTACTTATTAAAAATCTCTCTTCCCAATACCCTGCCCTCCAACTATATGTAAGCCGAGAGCCGAGACATTATTTTCATCACTGCTGAGGACAGTGCTGATACACAGATAGTAAGCACATAGTAGACTCAGTACATTTTTCTTCAGTGAATGAATTAATATTAGCAGCTTGTCTTGTATTTATCTTTAAAAGAATGTAATAGTTTGAATAATGCCAAAATATATTTATTTTATGAAAAAATGAAATTTCATAACAAAATAAGAATAATAAACATAGTTTTTCTCTAAAGCTTGCTTTTTTTTTTAACCTTCAAATGCAATAAATATTAGGAACCAGAATTAGCAGTGATAAAACATCATTATAGAACATTAGCTCTGGAGTCTGACTGGATTGAAATTCTGTTTTTTCCCTTTACTAGCCATGTGTCTTAGGGGTGGCTTTCTCTTTGAAATTTTAATGCCTTCCCCTATATCATGAAACTAATATCTAACATAATGAGTTGTGGCAAAAATTAAATGAGATTTAAAGCACTTAGTGTAAGATCTAACAAATAATCACTGAAATATTAACTCTGTTATTAGTTGGTCTTAGGGCATTAACTAAGAACTTGGAAATAAGATTTGTTTCTAAGTCAGAGAAATCATTGTGTTTTCTATCAGGGCAATGTAAAAATACTCTTAAAAAACAAGATGGCTCCTAGACCAAAAGACAGTCACTTTATTCTCATAGAAATATATAAATTTAACTAAGGTAATAAAATAATCACTATCAATTCTTTTGTGAAAGAATTTCTTGAGAAGATTTAGGGGCAGTATATGTGACTGATAGGAGAAAGAAATTTAATCAGCAGAACTGTTCTGCTGGTATTTTGATCCCATTGAAAATACTGTTCTTGTTGGGGAAATCAATAAACCAGTGTCTTTTAACATGTTAACCTGAATGGCCACAAAGTCATCCATTCATCTTACTCTTATTATTCTAATCACCAAGCAACCTTCTGACTGTCCTTTGACTTCCTATGTAATTTTGTCTGCAGAGAGAGAATGTAGTAGTCTTGCAGACTGTGATTTCTAGTTATATTGTTTTTTCTTCTAATTAAACTCATTCTGATTTTGTAAATTACTCTTAATATACTTTATTGATATAAGTCTAGCTCCGTGAGTCTCTTTTAGAGTGATGACGGAATTGGATTTTAGATGTATTGGATGACAACCTTGGGAGGTAATCCATCCAGTTTTTCGCATGGCGAACACATGATGTGTCTAATAACTCTTAATTTTTTGTTTGAATTCCTGTATTTTACAAACTGGCAGTGGTTTTCTTTTACCAGTGTTTCATTTAATTCAATTGACATGACTGACACGTAGAACAAAAATGAAAATTAGGCAGTTATGATTTTTAGCTGTTAAAATACTTTTATTTTTTGTAGTGCTGGGGATCTAACCCAGGACCTTGTGTATTCTAAACAAACACTCTGCAAATGGTGCTGTATCTCTAGCCCAAGTTCTTAAAATCTTTTAACTTCAGGTATAGTTTTTCTTAGTTTAAATTCAAATATATTTAGCAATTACAAACTATCATTTTGGAACAGGTAATGAGGCACAGTTGAAAAGTTTATGCTTTTGAATAGGATAAATGTATGTATTTTTGAACCCTGACTTGTTCATTTCACAAACTACCATTATGACTTCTGTTTGCTTAACCGATTTTTGCAGTTCTGGTTATAATGGAAACCAGAGTCTTGTGTGTTGTAGGTTGTAGCACTGAGCTACATTTACAACCCTTGCTGAACTTTTAAATGGAGATAATAATACTTATTTCTTACAGTTGCAAAAATTAAAGATACTGTTCAACACAATAAGGTGTGGTGAATAAAATACTGGCAGTGACTATATACTAGTGATATCCTTAAGTAAGAAAATGACACAGAATTTTGAACCTATTGAGTGGTTCTCTCCTCTTTTTATCAATAACTGTGCCACCTTGGGCAAGTTACTTAATACCCTTAGGGACCCATTCATGTACTTGGGATACAGTTATCTCATAGGTGAAATGAAACATTGTTTTGCTGATCCCTAAGAATTCTTCCAGCCTACTATAATTGTGTAAATCCTACCAGAAAATAAGTAAATAATTTGCTTTCTGATAAACCATAAGTAGACTATACATTTAATGGTATATTTTTGATGTCTATAGTAAAAGAGTAAACAAAAAGTAGATGTAAATCAGGATAGAGGGAATTCTCTTGTTTTTTCTTTCAATTCCTGTATAAATTACTTTCTGTTTTATAAAATAATACTGAATCCCCAGTGTTGGTAGCATGTTGTTCTGTACCTGCACAGCCAGACTGAACTACTGGAACAACTGGATTGGATGTGCCACATTCCTTTCTGACTTCTCTTTTTAGGGTCACTTTTCCCACAGCACATTTTATTTGCACTTTCTGGCTTACCTGTGGGCAGACCTTTATTCCTTTTCTTTATGCTGTACAGATCCCCTTTTCTATTGCTCTTTTCCCTTTTAGAGGACAGATGATTTCTACTTCTCTGCAGTTTAGCAGTTTAATATAGCATTACTTATTTCTCTGTGCTTGTTTATTAACACATTGCTAAGAATTGCCCATCTTTTTAAAGGCACACTTGCATGAGTTTGCATATAAATGGAGTATTAAATACAGCCTTCAACTTCAGACAAAGCAATTTTCAGTGCAAATTTTATATGTAAAAAGATTCCATGAAAGAATAAATTTTAAAATAATATTTCAAACACGACTGTCACAGTTTTCTTTGCAACTTGAAATTTTCATCAACATTTTGCGCTTCTAAGCAAATGGTTGTTTGCAATGCAAAGGAACACCTGGGGTGTGTTTGTCTAAGTTATTCAAAATTGTAAATGTTCCTTAGGTTTTAGAAGAAAGTTATGTCCATATCAGTCTTAGATTGAAAGGTTTTGGCATAGATGGCCTGAAAACGATGACCTTAAAGATATTTCTTATTCAATGAGGTAAAATTTCTGTTACCTCATGAAGCTTTTGATCTTTAGAAGTCCAATAAGATTGTTTTAAGAAAGGCATTTCACGGTGTTTTACTTATTAGTTAAGTAAAAGAAGTCATACTACTTCGGAACTTTGAAAGAGATCAGAATTTAGTTGCCATCTCTTTGGAGTATGCAGCTGGAGAGAACTTCTTGGGTAATATTTTTTCAGCTATATTTCCATCTTATATGTATTGTTTTCTTGCATATTTTTTGTAGGTATGTGTACTTTATCAGATTTTAAACCCCTGTAAAATGCTGATTGTCATTTTTTACATTTATTTAATTATTACTATTAGTAATAACTGAATACTTGCCTTGTTGTGTCAGAAACATAAAGCAAATTCACAGTGTGAAGACCAGGCTCTGGATGAAAAACATTTTTTGAAAAACAGGGTGGTTTGACCCAGAGGAGCTTCAGGAGACCATGGATCTTTTGAAATTTTATGCAACATTTTAACTTTATGCATTTTATTGAAGAAAAGGTTCTTAGTTTTTCTAGGATTTTTGAGGACCTGATCACAGACAAGATAAAGAACTTAGATATCTGGAACCAAAAAGAAACTTTATTGTTGCTATTTGGCATATGATTTAGATTATTTATAGAAAAAGCAGTACTATTTGTTATGACTGACAAATAGAATAAGGTTTTATGCTATTTTAATAAATAATATATTTCCTTCTAGTACACATTTTAGGAAGTTAACTATTACTGTTATTACATTCATTATTTTAGGGTTGTAAAAATATAATACTAGAGAAAAACTAAAGGTCCACAAATTTGAATACAGAGAGAACAAATAACTTGCTTGGGTGTATGCCACTAAAGTGCATTTGTCATACTGATTATTTTCATTGTAGCTGTATTTTTTCAAAAATTTAAAGCACTTATAATTTATCTATCTATCTATCTATCTATCTATCTATATTTTTTGGGGGGGCACCGGGGATTGAACTTGGATCCTTGCACTTGCAAGGCAGGCGGTGGAACCATTGTGCTAGATCTCCGGTCCAAAGCACTTATAATTTAAATAGACCATGAAAATTAAAATGTAATACAATCAAATCTATAGAAAGCTTAAGAATTATACAACTTCTTAGCCATTTTCTTATAGTTATGAGACTGTTACAGAAAAGAGCTTCAGAAAAGATTTTAAAATGCAGAGGTAGCCATTTTATATAGTGTCATTAAAAAGTGTAGTTAGTTTGCAGGAATGTCTTAATTATGATTAGCGATATAAAGGCATAACAATACTTGCTTTTTGCTTGTTTTTTTTTAGGTGCGGATTTTGCATTCAGCCATTCCTTACATATTTTCAGGACCTTTTGTAGATAGTGTTTCTTAAAATACGGTATCTCTGTTTCTTATCCTTGCCTCTATTGGCTCTAGGACCTTTTCTTGGTTTGTCTTTCCCACTGTGGTTGTCATAGGACTCTGAGTAAATCAATCTTTTGCTCCTTATCCTACCATCTCACATTTATATATTTGACTATTGTATATATTAGGAATTTTCTGCTTTGATACCATAGGTGTAAGTATGTAGTTATTTTTCGGGAAACTGGTCTATATGCCCAGGCTCTTTATTTATGTTTATGTTTTTAAATTTTGAGACAGGGTTTCACAAAGTTGCTTAGTTGCTCAGGCTGGGCTCGCATTTATGATGGTCCTGCCTCAGCCTCCCAGAGAGATTCTGTAGTTTTTTACCTAGAATACATAGTGTGTCACAATACAGCTTAATCTTTCCTTTGTATCTGTATTGGTTAAATCTTTGAATCAGCATTCCTAAGTTTTGAAATACTTAGCCAAAGAAAATGTTGGTAATGCATATGTTGTAGAGACAAAGCTTTCTTATTTGCTCCTGTATCCCTAGATCATAAGAGTAGTGGTACATAATAGTTGGTCAATCAATATTTGTTGAATGAAGGAATACTACTTGTGAACTAGAATTGTTTAGCCTCGAAAAGGAATATTTAGGCAAAGCCTGAAAAATGATGTAGGTTAACTGTATAGAGTGTTTAAATTATTTACATTTACTTAAAGGAAAGGGGCCAAAAGATAGAGGGATGAGAGAGGAAGAGGATGAAGAAAGAATTAAGATACATTATGTCCATGTACCACCTCCCCACCATGTATGGAGTCATTACATACTGCAAACATGTACAGTGCTAATAAAAAGTTTTTAAAATTAAAGATGCATGTAAAATAAAAGAATTAGATTTGGGTCATCAAGGATTATTAGATTTTTATGATTTAAACATCTGTATGAAGTCTGTAAATCTGTGATACTTATGCTCCTATCTCATATCACACATAGATGTGCATACAAAATCACCACATTCCATTGATTCTTGTCCCCTTCATTAATTCCTGGGTCTAAATTGATTTCTTTACCTTCAGCTTCTTTTTTTGTGTATCGGGGATTGAACTTGGGTCCTTGCGCTTGCAAGGCAGGCCACCGAACCACTGAGCTAAATCCCCAGCCCTACCTAACATTCCATTTTCTTGTCCCCTTCATTAATTCCTGGGTCTAAATTGATTTCTTTACCTTCAGCTTCTTTTTTTGTGGGAATTGAACTTCGGGGATTGAACTTGGGTCCTTGCGCTTGCAAGGCAGGCCACCGAACCACTGAGCTAAATCCCCAGCCCTACCTTCAGCTTCTTAATCCAGTGGATCTGTAATTATCATTCTGAAACCAAGTTAATTATGCGATCTTCAGTAGCTAACAGGACAAACAATGGTTTTGATCAGCGTGAAAGTTTTTTCCCTGCCATTCCTATAGATTTCATGCCTTCCTCTGCTCTACCTGTAAGGTGTAGCTCACTGTTTTCAGTGCAGACCTTGTGACAGTACATCAGTTTGACATTTTATATGCTCATCCTTCTACCTAGAATGCTTTCTTTGTTCCTAGCACTTATTTTTTTTTTTTAGAAGGGAGGGTTCAGCTTTCTTCCTCAGAAGATGTTCTAATTGTGGACTACTGTATTATAGATATATATATAGTTAAGCCTCCTAAGGTATGATTAAGTCCAGGTGACCCCACCTAGACAGTGTAAAGAAAATCTCAGTTCTATTAGAAAAAAGGCAATGTTTTCTTGGTTTCTCCCTTGTGACAAATACCTTCTCCTTTTCTCTTTTAAGTAAGTATTGAATGGCAAGAAAATTACTAAAAGTAATTTCAATTTCTAATTATCAACAGGTAAAAGACCTTAAACACTCAAATAATCTAGAAATAACAGATGTCAAACTGGAGGCAGCAAGAGCTAAGAGTGAGCTAGAAAGAGAAAGAAATAAGATTCAAAGTGAACTGAATGGTAATACATGATTTCCCTTGCTTTTTCCTATTATTTTAAGATATAAACTCACTATTAAAATAAATTAACGTGGATGTTTATTTCCAGATTCTTAAGTTGAATTTTAATTTTTGAGTACATAAGAAATATTTTTGCTGATATGTTCAAGTTTTGTTCATCTTTTAAGAAAATCAACCCTATATTTATAAAATAGTTATTTGATAAGTAATTAAGTGGAACTTTGAAAATGTAATTCCATCCTTTCTGGGTTTATAATCATAAATCTATTTAAATCATGTGGTTACTAGTCTAGGACATTCTAATTCCATAGAATAAGGAGGATAAATGAGTTTCAGGTTTCATTTTTTTGGTTTTTAAATGTAAACCCTGCTTTTGGAGCTCTATATCCTTACTTTTGAGTTCCTTTTTAGTCTGAGATGTCTTTTCAAGATTTCTCAAGGCTGATATTGTTTCTAACTTTTAAAATTACTTAAATAAGCTGTCTGTAGGCTGTAACTGTGGTGAGTTGATCTGTAGTTTAGCTGGCCTCTGTAATTGAGGAGTTTATGCTGAATGATTGTTTTTATTAATTTGTATTTAATATTGACTAATGGATTTCCACAGAGTAAGGGAGTAAAGTTTCTTAGAGATTTTTGTATTTAGTGCTTCTTTGAGTTAAATATGAATTTGCTTTAGTTATCCCAGATGAAAAGTACTTGTCATTTTATCACAAGGAAGATTTGAGAGTTCGTTTGATACATTTAGAACTTTCCTTGTTATTGTATTTCTCCATCTAGATTTTGAAGTGTTTGGTGACTTTATTTACTCTGTTATCAGCCAGCCTTATTATGCTGCTGTCTGGGGCTTGACTCACAGAACCCTGCTCAGGAGAAGTGAGTTAGCCTCTTTTGGTGTTATCCAGGTTGACCTTTCCTGCCCTCAAGAAGGAAATGAATGAGTGTATTAACCTTTTGAAAAGTTTCTGTGTATTACATGCTAAATAAAGTAATGACAGAGAAATTAACTCTGAGATTTAGTGTGTTTCATTCTTATTTTAAGTAGTTCATTATTGAGTTAAGGATCTTGGAGATTACATACCCAGAGACTTCCTAAATTTTTTTGTCTTATCTGATGAATGCTTGCTGTTCTGATTTTTTTCACAACATATAAAAATATTGAATGTAGCACATTTTTTTTTTCCTTAAAAAATTTTAGGGTTACAGTCAGACAATGAAATTCTCAAATCAGCTGTTGAACGCCAGAAAATGCTCTTAATAGAAAAAGATCGTGAGTTAATATGTAAAGTACAAGCTGCCAAGGAAGAAGGTTATCAAAAGCTTGTGGTATTACAAGATGAAAAGTAAGTACTTTATTATCTTAGCTTGTGTTATGTCTCTTTGCACACGAAAACATTTTTTTTAAACATTTTACTGGCATATCATCTTTATTGTCATTCTTGTAACATACTTATCATCTGTTCTTTTAGGCTAGAACTTGAGAACAGATTAGCTGATTTAGAGAAGATGAAAGTAGAGTATGATGTTTGGAGGCAATCGGAAAAGGATCAGCATGAAGAGAATTTGCGGGCTTCACGGATGGCAGAGGAGTCAGCCAGAAGGGAACTTCAGAGTATTAGGTTATCTGTATAGATATATTTTTCATTTTTGATTTTGAAATAGTTTCAAAGTTACAAAAATGGTGTGAAAGTAGTCTAGAGAATCCTCATATACCCTTCACCTTGATTCCCCAAATATTAACATTCCCCAAGTATTAACAATTAACAACATGATTCTCCATGTACAACATTTGATAGTATAATAATCAAGTCTGATTAATATAAAATCAAGCAAACATTACTATTTTCTAACCTATTGACTTTATTCAAATTTACCAGTTGTTCTACTTATATATATCCTTTTTCTGCAACAAGATCCAGTCTACCCCTTACATTTATGTGGTTTCCTTTAATCTGGACATATTCATACTTTTTGAAGAATACTGGGTAGTTATTTTGTAAAATATTTCTCAGGTTGGGTTTATAATATATTCCTCGTAAGTAAATTCATGTTGTGTATTTTTAGTAAGTGTAAAAACAAAGTCATGTGTCCTCATTGCTCCATATCAGGAAGTTCATGATTTTCCCCATAACTGGTGATACTGTCCTTGATCTCTTGGTTAAAATGTTGTCACTGGACTTGTCCCCACATTATACTTTGAGACCATGTAAGTGTTTTCATCATATTTTCTCACCAGATATTCTGCCACTAAATTTTTAGCATCCACTGATAATTCTTTCCTAAAACAATTGTTCTCCATAGTGCTTGCCAATTAGTGATTTTATTTATTTTTATCATTCCTCTACATTTGAAATTCTAAAATGCTATATTTCTACATATATGTACTAATAGGTTCTTGTTTTCTTCTATAGATTATAATATAGTAAAACCTTGGTTAATGAGCATAATTCATGCTGGAAACCTGCTGTAATTCAAAGCACTTGTATATCATAGAAAATTTCCCCATAGGAAATAATAGAAACTCAGATGATTCATTCCACAGCCCAAAAATCTTCATATAAAAATGATTGCAGTAGTGTAACATAATATAAAATAATCAAGAAAAATAAATTAACCTGCACTTACCTTTGAAAACCTTCATGGCTGGTGTGAAGAAGATGAGAGAGGAGAGTTACTATGTAGGATAGCTTTCACTATCACTAATGGAATCACTGCTATCTGTTGGCTCAGCAGAATCTTTTTCTTTTTCCACTTTAACAAAAAACCTACCCAATGACACTTGCTTTTGCTTCCTGTTGAGGATTTATGGAAATGTGATATTGCATTGTGGTAAAACAGATTCATCACTCATACTACTGTAGCCTTATTCAGGTGGTGCTTTTCTACAAAATTTTGCGCTGTTTCCCACATTTGTCACATCTCCCTAATCCTCATTTGAAGTGAGAGAATCCTCTGCCCTTTTCTCCTCTTCTGCAAATGAGATCTCCTCCGGGGAGGGAGGGAAGAGGAGAGAGAGCGGGGATGGGGGGCACCTTCAGCTCAGTTGTGATCACGCAGTGTTTGGCATCATACACTCCTATTGCAAGACATTGCTCGTTTGTCAAGATAAAATTCATTAGGCATGTTTACTCATCTTGTGGAATACTCACAATCCAGAGTTCTGTTGTATTATAATTTGCTAGTGAAGCTGTTGCAGAATTGGCCGTTGGAAGCTCTTGCAACTTGACACTTTCGTCCTTTTGACACATTCCTGCCATTTTTTGAGATTTTCTTTATTTGCTAGCATCACAAGATGTTCTTGGCCTTCCTTTAATCAGTCACTTCTCTAAGGTGCTGTGAGTCCTTTTTATTGGTTAATGATACAGAAAAACAGAATCTCAGCTCTAGGAGTGTTTATTGGTACTAGAAAGATTGCTTCTAGGCCCTCTCAGTAAACTGTGAAAGGAAATATATTTATGTATACAAAAAATACACATCAGTATCTATTTTTTATTTTTCTGTATATATGTATGTTAATAGTCATGCATTTATAGTGATATTTCCATTTTCAGCCCAATACCATCAGGTTTCAGCCCAACACCATCCTTTGCCGGCGAGAACCCTGAGTTTTTACTTACTTTCTTAGTCCTGGAATATGCATATAGTAGTTGTGCTAACTCATAACTCTGTGAAAAACTCCTTAGCTAGTATGTAGTACCTGTATATTATTTCTGTCTTTAGTCCCTAAGGGTATCAAAATACACTTAGTGAATTAAAATCCAATCTGAAAGTTACTTAAGAGTTTTGAGTTACTTCGGGATTTTCTCACCCTCACTTTGGTTATGTTATTCACTTGTAAAACAGCTTCACTTATTTCTATTTTATCCCATTTTGAGTCCCCAGCCCATCCTTGTTTATTTTAGCGTATTTCTCTATGTGGAACATCACCGTGGTTCTCAAGGACAGAATGATACAAAAATTATACAAAATGACACTACTTCCTGCATCTATTTTATCCTACTCCTGTGCTCATCTCTTCTTAAATGTCTGACCCCTGGTAGATAATCTAATTAGCTTCTGATTTATCTTTCCTGTCCCTCCCCACCCAGAGTTGGCAGATGCGTATATATTTTGTTTCCCTTTCTTTCTCAGCACTGTCATTGAAGTTGCTTTAAGTATAGTAGCAAATAGTCATAGAGATTAAATTCATTCTTTTTACTGCTGCTAGCACTCCAGTGTTTATAGGTACCAGTGTTTACCCATTCTTCTGTTTATGTTTTTAGTTTCCTATACTGTATTTTGTGATTACAACCAAGGCTGCAATCTGTATCTCTTTTCATATTGTTGGGGGTATATCTTAAGGGCAAATTCCTGAAGTAAGTCGGTCAAAGGTAAATTTATATATAGTTATATTAGATATTATCAAATTTATTTCCAAGAATATTGTTTCACTTTCTATCTCAGTATAGTTTAATTTGCATTTCTATTATAAATGAGATTGAGTAACATTTTATATGTTTAAGACCATTTTTATCCCTGGTTTGTGTGGTTTGTTGATGTCATTCTTTGCTGTCTGTTGATTTCTTTTGTCTTTTTCCCCTTGCTTTTAAAGAGTTCTTTGTATATTGAAAATATGCTACGAATATTTTTTCCCTGTGCATCAGTTTTACTTTCACTTCTTTTATGCTATTTGTTATTATGTAACATTTTATTATATAATCAAAATTATTAATCATTGCATATGGATTTTAAGTTGCAGTCTCCTTGCACTGAAGTTAAAGAGGAACCATGTTTTTTATGCTTGTATGACTTCATTTTTTACATTTAGATCTTTGATCTATTTAGAATAGCTATTTCTGTGAGCTACGAGATACAGATTTCATTTTACTTTTTCTAAATGGCTAACCAATTGTCCCACACTTTTATTAAAAACTAATTTTATTTATCCCAGTGATTCATGATGATGCTTTTATTATATTTTTAACTTATATATAACTTGAATATATTTCTGGACTTTGTATTTTACTTGTATGGTTGTCTGTTCATGCAACACTGCTCCAATAATGTAAGAATAGAAGCTTTATGCTATGTTTTAATGCCCAGATAGGCTACTCTGCCCTTGGATTTCTTTTGTCTTTTTGTATTTTCTAAGTTATTTTTTGTGTTTGTTTTTTCGTATAGTCTTAAATATCAATGTCTAGCTTCATAAATTAGTTTGTTGGTAATTTTGTTGTGATTTCATTTAACTTTGTTCATTTTTATTGTGCTGAAATACATATAAAATTTTACCATCTGAACCATTTAAAAAATACATAATTCAGGGCCAGGGATTTAGCTCAGTGGTACTGCCACCTGCCTCACAATCACAAGGTCCAGAGTTCAATCCCTGGTACAAAACAAAACAAAAAACCACACACACACACACACACACACATTTCACTGGTTTTGGTTGTGGTTCTAATGTTGTATAGCCGTCACTAGTGTCCATCACTGAAGCTCTTTTCATTTTATACAACTGAAACCCTATAACCACTAAACAGTGACTCTGCACTCCTTTATCCTCTCAACCCTTGGGAGTCAACACTCTACTCTGTCTCTATGATTTTGAGTACTCTGAGCATCTCATATGGTGGAATCATGTAATATTTATCTTTTGTGCCATTTTCTTAGCATGACAACCTCAGTGTTCATCTATTTCGTAGCATGCTTTAGGATTTCCTTCCTTGTTAAGGCTGAATAATGTTCCATTTATGTATATCTCATATGTAACTTACCCACTCGTTTATTCATGGAGGTCATACTACATTTTAGTCATTGTGAGTAATGCTGCCATGAACATAGGTATATAGATATATAAACATCTTTTCAAGATCTTGGTTTCTTGTTATTTTGGATGTAAACCCATAAGTGGAGTTGCTGGTTAATGTGGCAGTTTTATTTTTAATATTTTAAGGAACAGACATATGTTTTCTGGGATGGTTATACTATTTTATATTCCTACCAACAGTACACAAGTGTTCTAATTTCTCTATATCCTCACAAACACTTGCTATTTTTTGGATTATCTTAAATCTTAACCCTCCTAATAGTATGAAGTGTGATCTCACTGTAACCTTGATTTGTACCTTCTCTAACGATTTGTGACATTGAGCATCTTTGTATGCACTTACTAGCATGTACTTGGAGAAACATCTGTTCAAATGCTTTGCGCATTTTTTAATCTGTTTTGTTTGTTGAGTTTTAGGAGTTCATTATATGTTATAGATGTGAATCTCTTATTGGCTATTTGGTTTGCAAGTATTTTCTCTCACTCTTGGATTACCTTTTAACTGCTGATGAATACCTTTTAATGTGCATTTTTAAATTTGCAAGTTCAGTTTGTCTTTTTCTTTTCTTGCCTTTCTTTTGGCATCATATCCAAGAAGTTATTACCATATTCAGTCATAACTCTTTACCCCATATTCTAACAGATTTATAGCTTTAACTTTTAAAACTTAGGTTTTTTGTTTGTGTTAAATTTTTATGTGGTATTGGTAGGTAAAAATTTCATACTTTTACATGTGGATATGCAGTTTTCTCAGCACAATTTTTTTTCATTAGGTCTATTGGTACATTTTAGGTGTACAATATGATGACATTT